TCATTAAAACTCAAAGTTTTCAAACCTTTTTCATTAGTTTTCCTTAAAAATAATTGGGGCTTTTAGATCTAGGTCCAAAAACATAGATGGTTTAGGAGTGAGTCCAATTATCTAATTACATTGTTTTATTTCTTTTATACTCATTTTATATTTTTTTAAATATTAAAAATCAATTAAAATCTACTAATATTATACATTTTTCAACTCCAAAAAATCTAATTAATATCTTACAACAACAAAAAAACTAATATACTAACATAAATTATCTACAAAACATTCTATCTTAACTCAAGTAACAAATATATGAATATATATTATACCTGTAAGCGAGATATGAAACCTAACTAAAAGGTAGGAAAAAACATAATATACCTATAAACAAGACACATTAATTTGTGACACGTTGATTATAAAAAAAAATTTATCATATAGATACATAAAAATAATTAACATGTGATATAGGTTGATTATAAAAATTAAAAATTAAATCTATAAATGGGATTTAAAGCAAGAGGAAGAACAATAAATAACAAAAAATAAAAAAATAATAATAATCAAAGAGATAATTAGGAAGAAATTTGATTTTTATAATAAATCTTATCATTGAATAGATAATTATTGATAATAAAGTAATTAAATTTAAGGAATTTGACTTATTTGAATAAATTGAACTATTCCTACTATTGACCAAAAAAATTGGACTTACATCAAGTTTTCCCAAAATAATTTCAAAAGAATTCTGAAGTTACTTTCACGTCATTTAATATATGTTAGATTCTATGTATCGATCGAGATGATGGTAAGGAGTGGACACATATTTTTCTAAGTAGCTTCCATGCATATTAAAGAAGCGGCTGAGATCTTAAATCCGGCGAAAAAAATTGATATATATCTGCCATTAAGCTGTGGACCGATAAAGAAAATGAGACCGAGAGAGAGAGAGAGAGGGCGATTGAGATTTTTAGAGGGCAGAAATTAGGTGCATAATTTGGTCCTGTGCTTTTTTCTTGTGGCGTAAATGTCCACCCTGAATTCAACGGCAATCGGCCATGAAAAGGGAAGAAGAAAAAAAAAATTAGGGTGAGACTTGTGAGCAAACCTTGAGGAACATGTGAAGCTTCATAACTTTAGTGAATCAGCAAAATTTTGGCTACTTATTCTTCGTTATATAGTCTATTGAGTTTGTTGATGCACAAAACCAGAGGTCTTGGAACAACGTAAATCCAACCGTGAATCTGCAAGTAATGTAAATAACACAAGATATATCGTGGTTCACCCCAAGATTTGGGCTACGTCCACACTGATTGTATTGTATTTCTCTGAGAAGTGAGGGAGAGAGTGTGAGAGCTTTGCTCTATATAGGTTTGTGAGGGTGATGAGGCTCTTTTATAGAATAAGGGCTCCTCCCCTAATTGCATATTTGCCCATTCCTTTATTACATAATTACATTTAAGTCCCTCGAGTATTTATACGAAGTCTAAATACGAAGCCCTACATATGGTATAAACAGAGTTCATTTTACATTTATCCAAATGAATAATTCACTATTAGTTGAGTGCGTGGTGTGGTAGTAACCTAGATATGTTAAATAAAGAAATTTAGAAAACGAATGGTTCGTTTGGGATTGCTTCTAAAAGCAGAAGTAGAGCCAGAATTTTAATGAAAAATAGATTCAATACTCGTTTTTTCACTCTTAGATGTTTGGATTCAAGTCACTTGTTTAAACAAATTTAGATTCAATACTCGTTTTTTCACTTTTAGATGTTTGGATTCAAGACTAATTTATTAGTTCACAAACATATAATAGCTCATATTGTAACACGTAAATTTATTTATAACATATAAATACTAGTAATAATATGTAACGGTTTGAAAGCAGTTCCACTGTTGGCAATAGCCCGATGGACTAGCTCTCAAATAGGGCCAGTAGCCCGAGCAATGAGGTCCAGCGTGTGCTGGTGATTGAGCCTGAGTGGGCCTAAGGGAGAGGCCTGGCACAAGTAACCGGGCCAAGAGCCTGAAGGCCACGTGAGGCAAGGCTGATGTTTGGGCGACTTCAGCCACGTTTTATATATTTTTTGCGTTGACAAGGTTTCAAACCTAGGGCCCGTGGCGCATTTCAGAATGTTACCGTTGGGGAGGCCACGTGTTTTCTCCGCGTCCATTGGATTTCAACGGCAACAATTTATGGACTATTGGATTTCCAACAGTAAAAAAATTTAAAAACCTTATTTAATTTTAGCCGTTGGATCTGAGATCAACGGTTCATGTTATTCAGCTTTATAAATTAAAAAAAAAGAACAAAAAACAATTTAAAATTATGAAATCTTACTGTTGTGCCACGTGGCACAATCTGGACTGTTGGAAATCAAAAATCTTTTAATCCAACGACAGAGATTAATTATGTGAATAAAAAATTAATAAAAATCTGAAGAAAAAAAATTGAAACATAAAAAAATAAAAAAAAAGATTTTACTTTTCTATAAATGTCTTCTCATTATCTTCTACCTTATACCACAATTTCATATTTTGTCAACTAGTTTTAACCACATTCTTATCTTTCTCTCAAAGTTTCAATCCAATTTTTTTCCAACAAAATGACTAATGATGCAGGTACGAATTGGTCGCTTGTTGAAGATGTTATGTTGTGTACTAGCTGAGTTGAAGTTACTCATGATCCAATTACGGGTAATGAGATGCAGTTGCGAGAAATGTGGAGTCTTATTCATGCCAATTATCTTCAGAAAATTGGTGGGAAAAGAACCAAAAAATCGATGTCCAGTCGTTGGAGAATACTTAGCCAATCGTTTAGTATGTGAAGAGATGGCTTGGCACAAGTTAGTAGTAATCTTCGAAGTGTGGAAAATTTAGCGGATTAGGTAACAATATATTATTTATTTGTTTGTACTATACCCAAATTTACATTATCGGAAATTACAAATAAAATTATTTTGTATTATTTTATAAATAAATAAATACTATTATTTTATTGCCTATTGTCATGGCTATTCAGTGTAGAAGTGAAGATACAAAAGGCAGATACTATTCATTAAATGACTATATACTAGATAGATTAAATAGTGAATAGCCTTAGGAGGCCTAAGCAACGGTAGAGTTGCTCTGAGTTATCTTGGTGCTCCTAATTTTCTCCAAATATTCAATCATCACGATTTGTAGGTCATCTATTCATTTGGACTCTGCAAAATTTGTATGCATGCCCTTACATTCGGCTTTAGGTCCATATATACAGTACCTCAAACTTGTCTTGAAACTGGCCCAATTCATGTCTTCCATTTCCTCTAGATTGGTAGTCTCACTGTCACAGTTGTAGAGTTCATATGAAGACACGTTTATTTCTTTTTCTTTTTTCCCTTTTGTGTTTTGTTGATAGCTAGCTTTCCAGATGGCAGCAGTATATATGTATACAAGGTAGGAAACGAACTTCTATAGCATACTAAGTGCAGCAGTTGAGGGCAAATTATATGGTACGAGGGTAAAACTACAATGACGGTATGTGATAGTATAAGAACAAGTAAAGCCAACAGAATCCTCTCCAGCTCTTTTTGGTGAAGATTCTGAGAATTCATGAATCGTGTCTGTTCATCATATATCGTGCGGTCAGTTTTTATTAATGATTGTTTATGTTTATTTTTAAATAAAAATATTTAAAATAATTTATGACCGCATAATATACGATGAACGGACATGATTTATGAATCCCGAAATCCTCACAAAGAGGATCCAACTAGGATCCGGACACCAAGTAAAGAGAAGTTAACCGATATTTTTATATTATTAGTTTAAGATGTCATTATAATAATGCATCCATATCATACAAGTTCTTATCACTATGTCATCCCTTGATAATGAAAACATTATATGTAAGTTACTCTCTCATAGCCAGAAAAAGACTTCTTTTTTTTAGTTGGAAAGTGTTATTTACATAATTATTTTTATTTTTTACACACGTTTACTAATTTTTTACTGTTAATATTTTTCATTTCATTTAATTCGATAGATAAAAATTTATCTAAAATGTGTGGTAAATAAAAATAAATATAGACATAACCCTATCTTTTATAATTTTACAGTGGTTGATTACTTGAGTGTATGTACTTTGTATCCGCCAAATCATGCACAGGCACATGACCAGCAAAATCTCAGAGCAGGTTGCATGTACTGTCACATCATCCGGACCCCCCAGTATCTTTATTTTTTCAAATATTTTTTGAAGGAGAAGGAAATTACTTAATTATTTATCAGTATTAAATTCATGATCCAAGAATTTAAAACAAGATCACTTCAAGCACAAAACCCACTGTTTCATCATTGTGGGATCTTTCCTCTCCAGTTTATGCAGATTCTCATCATCATTTGCTAGATTTTTAAAAACCCTACTTAGATAATAATAATGTAGTCTATATATAAATTATTAATTAGGCCACAGGGTTAAATAATATAGATTTGGACATTCATGCAAAAAAATAAAAAAAGTGAAAAAGTGGTGTGATTTGCAATTGCTCTCATAAATTCATCATCAAGATTTTCTGATCAGAGATTTTGGGGTCTTGCTTGCGGACTTGGATTGTCTGCCCTTCCATTTAGGTGTCTTCTTCGTGTCTTTCTGTTTTGTGTGGTCACGGTTAAGTCATATCAATATTTTATATTATTTTTTTATAAAAATAATAAAACAAAAAAAAATAATAATATAAAATGTTGACGTGGCTTAACCGTGATCACAAAAACAAGAGGGCACGAAGAGGGCACAGAAATTAGAGGGCAAAGAATCCAAGTCCTTGCTTGCATCAGCACTGTCTGTTATTTTTATTTTTTTTCTTTTTCATTCATCTCTTCTGCATGTGTACAAAAGTACACTGGTAGCTAGCTGCTGCCACAGTGCATTGGCTCTCTCTCAATCTCCTCTCTCTCTCTCTCTCTCTCCCTTCATCAGCATTGTCACCTTTCAGATTGCTTTTAAAGCCTTTAATTGTTGGATTCTGGGGAGAAAGTTAGAGAGCTCTTTGCCATATTTTACTCTTGGTTTTCAATCAATCAGGGTTTTGGGGTCAAAAATAGATAAAAAGCAAAGGGCTTTTACTCTTTTTTTCCACCCATATCTCTCTCTCTCTGGAAAAATGGGGGGTGAGGGGACCTGCCAAGAACAGTGGGTTGATCAGAGAGAATCCAGATATTTTGATTGTGATGATTGCAGATAAGCAGCAGATAATGAGAGGTGGTGAGGAGGACAAAAAAGATCAGAATGTGAGAAGGCAAAGACATGCATGGGCCCTCTCTAAACTCTGCAGAGCAAATGAGAGTCTCTCTCTCTCTCGCGCTCTCTCTCTCTCTCTATAGCTTAATTAAATTCAATGGGTCCATTTCATATTTTCATGCATTCAACTCCACGTCTGTGACAAAAGCACTTAAATTCTGTGACAAAAGCTTTTTTCATGTGTGAGTTTTAGTTTTCTTCGGCTTTTTTCACTCTCTCTCCCTCTCTTTGTTTCTTTTATTGGGTTCTCAGAGATGGGTGTCCTTTATTTTTCAGACCCATTTCTGTTTCTTCCTTTAAATCTTGTGGCTTCAAGCTAGAGAGAGAGAGAAAGAGAGAGAGAGAGATGAACTCTGAAACTTTGATGGGTCCTCTGATTCCTGAAACTATTCAGTCTCTTGGGTTTTGGTTTTTAGCTTGAAAGAAAGTAAAAAAAATCCCACTTTTCTGTTCATTCAAAACAAAAGACTTCAACTTTTTGCGTTGCTTTTATATTTCTTGTGATTGGAGAAAGGTGGGAGGGAAGGAGAATGCGTGAGGCCTCATTAGCTTTCTCTCCTTGCTTTTTTTGTTAAAGAAGGAACAAAGTTACTAGCTCACCACTGCATATTCTGCCTTCCTTTTTATTTTATTTTTTGCGTTGTACTCCTTTTTGGCTTTAAGGATAAAGCAAAAGAATCATATCTTTTGTGAGCTTTCTGGTTTTATTATTCTTGCTACGAGAATTATACAAACATTCTGAGTCAATCAACATTCCCACCTTTCTTTTCATTGGAAGTTTTGGGGGTCTGATATGGGAAAAGTCCCATGAATCTGCTTGAAGGTTTTTCATAAATTTGATTTGCTTCAGAGAAGGTGTTTTGGGGAAGAATCTGCGTTCTCAGGTTTGTCACATTCATGGCTTGTTTGTTACTGATTGCAATATTTAGTTTATAAACTGTTAACTATATGTTTTACCCTAATTTATGCAGTTAGTTTTGTTTTTTTTACTTGTAAAAGCACATAATTTGCTACTGGTTGCAGTATTAAGTTCACAGTTTTGTTAAATTTCTCACTGAGTTTATACATTTAATCTTTGACATGGCCAAGTTGGCTAGAGTAACGTGCTCTCGCCTCTCTGGCAAAGTTACTAATCGCCTTCTTCGTAGTTTAGATTAGTTTATGAAAAGAAACTATATTGGGTTATAAATCTGAAATGTAGGTGCAAATTAACCTGAGTTTTAAATTTTTCCAGGCAAAGATTGATTGAAATTGATTAGCTCATGATTGGAAGAGAGTTGCCTGATAGAGTTGCCTGATAGAATATTCATCTCCCTGATTTTTAGTAATGCCAAATGAAATGTGAAGTTTGTTGCCCTGTGATATGATGGATAACGAGATGTATAATGGTCGGGCGGATGGCCGAAGTTCTCTTGTCATGGAGGGGGTTGTACCACACACAACAATGAACTCACTTATTCAGTCCAATTCATTTGATCTCGATCATCAAAACCGTATGATGGCGTTGATTCCAGTGCTTTCGACCTTTCAAGGAGAACCTGTCATGGATTCTGATTCTGATCTTATCGCTGCAAACGGCGTTAGTGTGGCTGAAATGAGTCCATTTCTTACTTCTCAAAGAAGGAACAATGTGGGAGACTCTTCATTCGTAAGTTCAAGTTTCGCAGATAGCACGGTGTTCCAAGCAACACCTCAATCTTCTGCTTCACTTGCTGCACTTTTTGCGGCAAGGGGTAGTAGTCTTCAAGAAAATCTCAACAATTTAGCAATTTCAGCAATGCCGATTAATTCTTCAGAAGTTTATGTTTCGAATGACTGCTCTAACAACTCGAATTCTCTGTTCACGACCGCTGTGAATTGTGGATATGATGAAATGCTTGGTAGCATAAATAGACAATGGGAGATCAACAAATACTCAGCTCTTTCGGAACTTGGTGAAAGATCTTCAGTAAGAACAGGACTTCAACCTTATTCATCCGTTGGAAATGTGGATCCAAATGGATGGTTATCATCAGATGGTGCAAGTGTGATGGCATATAATTCTTACAGTTCCTCGAAATTTAGTAACGAGCTTGCTCTAACTCTTGCCACGTCCAGGCCTTTGGATATCAGAAAGCAATATCCCGATGTTGGTTCATCAGGGGTTGCTCAGCCTTGTCTGAATCAAACAAGGTTTGCCTCACCAGAGCAAAATTCTAGTAACAGTGAGAAGCTTTCCGGGAGTTACAGTTCTTGCAAACCACCTCAGTTATCCCAAGTAATATGTGGATCAAGATATCTTCATGTGGTTCAGGAAATACTTTCTGATATTGCAAATTATTCGCTAGAAAATCTAGACCAGTCGAGTTTTTCATCTGTCAGGCTTGTGTCTGAGAGCGGGATGTCGGCGATGGATGATGGTTTAGATGGTAGATTTGAGGTACCAAAGGAGCCTGCAGTGCGAAAACAGGAAATCAAAGCAAAGAAAACCAAATTGCTGGCCCTTTTACAGACGGTATGTAGTTGTATTGCGCTCTTTATCAGTCTAAATTATCTGCTTTGGTAATGAATTAAATTTTCTATCCAAAAAGGTGCGGACAACTCGAATTTTCTTGTTCTGAAACCTTTCTTTATGATGTGTTGGACTTAGAACTAGTATTTGGGCACTGTAACAGATTGATATTGTTTCTTCTGATGCAGCTTGATGACTGCTACAACCAATGTGCCGATGAGATTCATACAGTTGTATCAGCATTTCATGCTGCAACCGAGACAGATCCTCATATACACGCTCGTTTTGCGCTTCAAACCATATCTGTGCTGTATAAAAGTCTGAGGGAGCGGATTAGCGCACATTTCCTTTCAATAAGTGAAAATTCAAGCCCTGCATCCCCCAGTGAGAGTGAAAGGTCTTTTGAAATCCAAAAGCAGTTGGCTCTTCAGCATCTAAAGAAGAAAGAACATCAAATATGGAGACCTCAGAGAGGCTTGCCTGAAAGATCCGTCTCAGTGTTACGCGCCTGGATGTTTCAGAACTTCCTTCATCCGTGAGCTTTCTCACGAACGTCTTAAGAGTTTTGCATACTCTAATGCCCGTCTTCGCCTATGTGCTCAAACAATCTCTTATCAATAACATGTCTTATCAATTTAATCTATTTTCAGGTACCCTAAAGATTCGGAGAAGCATGTTCTTGCAGTGAAAAGTGGATTGACAAGAAACCAGGTACGTGATCACTGATTTTATTGGGCATTTGAATCCACAGCTTCAAAGAACTCATTATTTTTTCTATATATTTGGCTATACTAGGTATCCAATTGGTTCATAAATGCTCGTGTCCGGCTATGGAAACCGATGATAGATGAAATGTACTCGGAGATGAACCGAAGAAAGACTCGTCAGAACGATAACCTCGAGAGAAACCACAAAAGCCACCACATTAGGATTAACACTCACAAATTTGGTGTCAATTGAAGGTTTTTGGAAGGTACATAGCAAATGGAAGGAATGGGCATTTCGGGATCATTTTGTAGGGAAACAATGCAAATATTGCAAGTGTATATTCCTCTATGCAAGCTAAAAGTTTTAAGGAGTAGTTTCTTGTAAGCAAAAGCACAATTGAAGTTCTGATAACCGATGCCTAATCTTGGTTCTAAATAATTTATTTCCCTTAACCCAAATATTAACCTTAATTACCTTTTTAATATAAATATTATTTATGAATACTCATTTTCATCTTCTGCACGTCATCGTTTATTTCTATTCATTGATCTTGCTTTGATTTGGGTCGGAAATAAATGGGAATGTGCATGAGAAGAAAAGTCGTGTGCGGGAATCATTTATCTTCTTAATAAAAACCCGTCAAAGAGTTCTTTGCTCCTTCCAAGCAAGGTGACGTTTCTTGTTAGACAGATCGTAAATTCGTACTTCCCCGTACACTTCTCGTGTTCTTAATGTGTTAATTTTTTTTTTTGTGTATGACTATGATTTGCGGAGCACTCGTAAAAATGTGCTTGCTCATTTTCTTCTTCCTTTATATTCCAAAAGTTAGGGACTTAGTGCTTGCTAAGCTGTAAGCACTAAGCCACCCCTATAAAAACACTTTAAGGCTTAACCCTCCTGTCTCACAATTAACTCGACTACCACCATCACCACTCTTTGATCATTTCGGAGCAATGGCGGCGGGGATGGTCGTTGTTTTCCACTTTGACAAGACGATCATCGACTGCGACAGCAACAACTGGGTTGTGGACTGGGTGTCAAAAACTTGTTCACTGGGCTCCTCCCTACATGGCAACGAATTTTCGAACACACAGCGGTATGTAACTCGAATGTCACGTAATTTTCAGGATCGGATGATGGCGGAGCTTCATGTACATGGAAAGACGGTTGAGGACATTTCAGAGTGTCTGAAGAGGGTTCCAATCCATGCTTTTGGGTAATTTCATTTCCTTATGAACATAAATGTTATTATGTTGTGTAACATTTCCGCACACCTCTTCTTTCCTTTGCACACTAATTTTGAAACCTTTCATTTATTCAATTCAAATGCGAGAAATAAACAAAATGTGAAAAAGTGAAGAAAAAAAATGTGCGGAAATCACTTTCTTAGTTTTTGTGATTTATAATTGTCGCACATGCATGCAAGGTAAATTAGGATGCCTCTGTCGACTGGTTTTGTAGAAAACACTTTTCTCATAAATCTTTTTACTAGAAGTGCTTTTATAATAAGCCTGTAGGAATTTTTTATTAAAAATCAAAGTGCTTTTGTAGGAAGCACATGGTAGTCCTGCTAAATACTTTCTAGAAAGCGCTTCTTGGTGTTGCTGCAGGGTTTAGTGATGGAAAAGATCCAAGCTTCTGTTTCATCAGACGGGAAGAAACACTTCCATCTATGTTGGAGATGGAGCTTCTGTTTCATCAGATGGTGCTTCTGGTTTGAAGCTTGAAGAAGGAGACTAGTCTGGCAAAGAGAGAAGTAACCATTTGGATCCAACTGATTGCAAGCAGTTTGGTATCTGCCTCTGCCCATGATGCCTTTCAAAATGCACTTCCAGTTCCGCTTCCTTGCCATGATCGTTTAACAAGATGATATTATAAACTTACTCTAATCTACAAGTTGGGAAATTCAAAGTCGAGTACCAAAAAGTAAGCACATTATCCTGATTGACTGGCTTAACATAGAGGTGTGGCCACAATTCCTTGCCAGTGGTTGGGATTTGAGACGCCAAGAATACCATCCATATTTCCTACTCGTTTTGGCTCCAACTCTGCTGTGTACCTCTACATCTACGGAATGATTTAGCTTTACCACTTTATTTTTTTATTGGCATAATTATATTGTTAAACTATGAATTTGAGTCGCACGTTGAAGCAATAATCGATATAACTAATAATATAAATTCACAATTTGACGACATAACGACAAAAGAGAAAGTATGGTATGTAAAAGAAATGAACCAATAGTTTATGGACTTCGATTGTCTGGCCTCCCATTTCGGTGCCCTCCCCGTGCCCTTTTGTTCTGTGTGGTCACGGTTAAGCCACGTCAACATTTTATATTATTTTTTTATAAAAATAATAAAACAAAAAGAAATAGTAATATAAAATGTTGATGTGGCGTAACCGTGACCACACAAACAGGAGGGCACGAGGAGGGCACTGAAATGGGAGGGCAGACAATCCAAGTCCATAGTTTATAGACAAGGATTGTCTGCCCTCCACTTCCGGTGCCCTCCTCGTGCCCTTTTATTTTGTGTGATCACGGTTAAACCACGTCAACATTTTATATTGTTTTTTTATAAATATAATAAGACAAATAAATAGTAATATAAAATGTTGACGTAGCTTAACCATGACCACACAAACAAGAGAGCACAGAGGACACCGGAAGTGGAAGGCAGACCTTGTCCATAGTTTATAGGCATGCACAACCAAACCATTTATATCATGCAGGCCATGACAGACTCCATCAAGTCCCTCCCTTTTACCGCAGAGTAATTAATTGAGTCATATTTGTGCCAACCAGGATCGATGGCTACTTGGGCTGACACATTATCCACCACCAAAAGTTGAATAGTGTGCCACATCAATGAAACCTAAAAGAACCTGTCTTCACGTAACTTATCAGTTTTGTAGTACAACTAAAGATCAGCAAGTTTTGAGTGCGACAGGCTCCTGCTTTAATCAACGTATCATAACTACGAGAAGACAACAAAAAAACAAACCTAAAAGAAGAAAATTGATGAATCAACAACTAAAGATCAGCAAGTTTTAGGTGCAACCGGCACCCGATAACTTATCATAAGAACAAAAACTAAACCAAGAGAAGAAAATCGATCAATCAACAGAAAAACCATATCGAGAACACGAAGAAAGATACAAGTTCATCATCCATTTTATAACATTATTGAGATTTACGTATTTGTTTGTCACTAAATGTTTATTTCGACGATATACAGACAACTAGACCTCCCCCTTCATCAACTGACATTTGTGTTTACAAATGAAAGAATCATATCTGCTTCCCTTGTGATTTTATCCCCTGTATCTTTCTCTTTCTTTCTCTATATCTACAGAACCGCTTATAATCCCCTTACCATTATTCAACCCCCCAAAATCTAAATGAAAAAACTCAGATAGATTACAGAAAAGAAACGTGTTTTGCAAACCCTTTTTCAACTTCTTTCAGGAATGAGGAATCCGAGTTTTTATCGGTTTCAACTTCAAGCCCATGCTTTCTGGGGAAAGAAGCTCAGGTGCGATGCAGGAAGGACTCAAGGGGCTTCTTGGGCTGACACTAGACTGAGAAGGCCTGTATAAACCATATCCCATGAGGAAGTACTCTAGCGGTATCAACATTGCATGTGGCTGCTCCTCTGTCACCATTGACCCGCATGCCTGAACCTGCAGGTCACCAACACGTCCTGACTTTAAATTCATGGAAAGATACAACTAAAACGTGATATGACCGTACAAATTAGATCCGGGTTGCATACCTCAACCAAGGCACTATATCTTCTATCTAGTTTTGAGGTCATGTACAGAGCTTCTGAGTGAAACGGAGAGCTGTCCCCAACAAATATTAGCGTACGGCATTGTAGCTTTCTCAATCCTTCAGAAATGTCAGGCCTCCTGTGAGACCAAAAAACAGAATTACTCCCATGCCACCTAATGCATCAAACTCCGAATATGAAGTACTTATTATTAAGCATCCTGAATGCATTTTGTGAGGTTCACACTACAGAATGCCACACTGATTGCAAATATTACATTGATCATTTGTCTGCTGTGGACAAGCCCTCCCCAAGAGGGTGATTTGCCTAATGGGATTGATCATAAAATAAAAATATAAAGAAAAATCTCCGGAAAGGAATTTACCCATTCATTGCTTCAAGAAACCGCCAAACATTTGAACTATGCCTTTCATCGAGCGACTGTAAGTGCATACACACATTCGACATGTGATCAGCACTTAACTACCATCATTGTTGGTTTTCAACAGACAATGAACATAACATAATAAGAGAAGGTAATAAAGGCTAGAACACTAACTCTTCTGCATGCCTGAACTATATCTGACTCTGGTACTTGAACACCACCACGAACTTCCTGAAGCCAGGATTTAAAACTTAAACAATCAAACCAAAAACAGATGCCGGGACACAAATATATGTGAGTTCAACTAGAACAGTGGCAGACCTTGCTGAAGTACCGGTTAAGCAATATCTCCTTTACCACCCCACACATGCCATAAAAGTAGAGTAAATTCAACATCACCTGAAAATGACATGAAAAGTCATGTGAGAACCAGATTTTTCTTAGACCCAATATGGTTAAAGGTCCAGGAAGGGGAGAAAGAAAACCTTATTATACAACCATTCTGTCCAAGTGGCTGCTTTGGATATAGGAGAAACAAGTATCAAACCCATGACACGTGGTCTATATTTCATCTGTTGCCAAGAGTTATAGAAAAATCAGACGATCTATTATGGACTTGTTGAAAAATAAGGAACACATATAAGCACTAATCAGCACTATCTTACAGCAAATTGGGTGAGAATGAAAGCTCCAGCTGTAACCCCCATACACATTACTGCACCGAGTCTACGGAGAGAGAAAGAAAGGTCAGGTAACTCCCTTCATTTTTCAATCATCGAAGGATCATGATTTATTTGTGTTTAGTAAATGGGAATGAGAGACTAAACCAGAAGCATTCTAATGAACAGACAACTAATTCAGATCACTCAAAATCAAGCTCCTGATTCACATAAAATAGAGCATGAAATGAAAATTTCATTTACCCGAAAAAATCGAGAACCTCAGCAATCTGATCTACTAAATCATCAACAGAATACAAAGGATCATCAAGGCTGATTGCAGAAGCTCCCAACTGAAGAAGTTTTTGAAGAAAGCATGAGATCAGACACGATCTGAATAATAGCACTCAATACAAGAGAAAATCTGACCAGTAATAAAGTCAGGAAAATCAAGTGGAAGCCATATATGTAGTCAAGTTATTGAATTACAAACCTCATGCCCAGGAGGACTGATATGATATATGCAAAAGTTGTGGAGCAGCAAGGAACAAGCTTCTGGACAAAGGAATAATCCTTGAAAGCAGGACATATCTGGTAAATCAGATAATAAGACAAATGTTAAGTTGGACCTTCAAAGTAATGCCACGAAAAGGAACGATGACGTTGAAATGTTTGGTTGATCATACAT